TTTGTACAAAGTCCAATCGCCCTCATTCCCTCGGCTGTGGGACACGACTCTCAGTTTATCTCCTTCTTACAGAAGAGCCAGATAAATAGGTAGGCTGTGCAAGCGCTGCTTAGGTCACCAGTTTGAAAAGGGCTCCAACCTCCCCAGAAATAGGACTTTCCCAGACCTCCTGTCACCGAGAGCCACGTGTGCCCGGCTGAGTGGCTTGGTGCAGCCAGTGGGGGAAGCAGGCAGTGAGATCCCTCAGGAGACGGCACAGTGGCCAGGGATGGGCACGAAACTGCCATTCATAGAAATGGGCCAAAGTAAGCGAAGCTTTAGGAGACAGGGCAGGACCGACTTGCTGAAGTAACGGAGAAGGGGCCGTCACTGATGGGCATTCCTGCCGCCTTCCTCCTGCCCTCTCCCCACACTGCGCTGGGCATCTCCTCCGGGTAAATGCTGGCAAACTGTGATGAACTGTGTCCCAGGGCACCCATGTGACTCCATTTGGCCCTGTGTAATGAGTTTCCTCAGTGAACTCTTCCAGTCACCTCCGACAAGCTTCCAGAATGTCAGTGATTCCCTTAATGCCATTGTTGTTGACTTTTTTAAACCTTGTTAAGGTTACATTCGTTTAGTGAGGCTAAGTTGCCCCATTTCTGAAGTTTTATTTTTTCTTCTTCAGGCCATTTAATGATCTATCTTCCTCCCCTGCCATCTCCCCGCCCCCCTCCCTTTTCTTCACCACCCTCTTTTTCCTCCCCTCTCTCTGCTTATTCCTTCTTCCTGGCTATTTTTTGCTAATCTTAAAAACGGTGTTTTTTTTTTTCAGGTAAACACTTCATTAACTAAATTACTTCAGAGTAGTAAGTCTTCTAAAGTAAACTCAGCATATTCTCATTGACGAATCCTCTGTCGACAGCTGCCTCCCCACCTCCTGTGCCCTCCCGAACCCCTGACCTAGGGCAGGCCATTCTATTAATACAGTAGAAGTGGATAGACTGTCCTGTACTTCTGGTTTCTCACAGAGGTTTACCCAGGTCAACATTTTAAATGTCTTATTTTGACTACTTCATAGCATAAAACAATCTCAAAGTCAAACCTTACACACTTGGTCAAATACAATGCAATTGTATAGAATTGGGATTCTATTATGTACACTTGTTTTTATCCAACTAACAACACAAGACACGTTGGAGCAAGTGTTTCTAGACTGATAAACAGGCCTGCGACTAGACTTTTGGGGTTACAGATTGATGTTCATTTTGGCCCTGCTTCCCAAGCACAGCGATCCCCACGGCCCCTCTCATTTCTGCCTGGCCCCGTACATTTCTCCTGACCAACCTCCACCCATCTCACCAAAGATCCCCAAAGCAGCACCCCCAGCATTGACCTCCAAAGAATATAGAATTCTTGGATCTGGCATTCCACGATGTTCAAATCAGTTTTTAAAAAATATATATTTTTTTATGATTTTAGATAGAGAGGAGGGAGAGGGCAAGAAACATCAATGTGAGAGAGAAGCATTGACCCAGCTGCCTCCTATACCCATCTTGACCAGAAATTGAACCTGGGCATGAGCCCTGACCAGGAATTGAACTGGTGACCTTTTGGTGCAAAGGATGAGCCACACCGGCCAGGGTTCAAATCAGTTCTGTGCCTTCAGTAACCTACACAGCACAAGGGATAGATTCGCTTTTTCTCCTGCTCCCTCTTAAATTCCTCACACTCATGGCCCACTTCCTCCTGCCTGTTTAAGATCCTGGCTTGTGTGCTCCACTCTCTTGCCTGATATTTTTATTTCTCTCCAGCAGCAGAAGGACTGCTGGGAATAATCTGATGCACATGAAGAGAAAATGAGGATTTACTAATAAGATTAAATTAAATTTAAGCAGACTTTTATCAGTGTGTGAAGCACACTGCTAAGCACTGTTTGAGATGAGCAGACACAAGCCAGGACCTCATGGAATTTACAATCTGGAGAGAGGATGAGGAATAAGACTACCCATATATATATGAGTTCCTGCCAAATAGGGTAAAGTCCATGAGAAAGGAATAAATGAAAGCAGGGGTGCTCACGTTTCCCTAGGGAGCCAGGACCATGTGATATAAGTGAATGGTTGGGATGGAGAGCGGAAAGCCCCGAGCTTTACTCGAGACTCAGTCACTGATAAACTGATAAGGCCTTAGTGTTTCTCCTTCCCAGGACAGGCCCTCATAATGTACAGGGCCCAGTGCAAAATGAGAACGCAGGGCCCCTTATTAAAAAATGAAGCATTTCAGGATGGTGAGAGCAGAGCATGGGACCCTTCTCAGCACAGGTTGCACATTCAGGGGCCTGGTCTTCCAGGGGCCTCTGCTAAGTCAGGGGTTACCTTTGGGAGGCACGGAGCCCAGCGTCACCAGTGCCCAGCACAGGCCTGCTACTCAGAGGAATCAGTGAATGACTGGAAATAAGAATGGATTAACATGATTACCTCTGATGATTTCTTGGGTTGCTTTCACGGTTAAAATGTTATTAGACCATGATTCTGAATAATTTCTGGAGGAGACATTTTAGATGAATCTTAAAGGATAGGATTTTTCTTTCTGTTTCCCCCTCTTCCCTTCCTTCCTGTTCTTCCTGTATTTTTCCATGTAGCTCACACTCTAATGATAATGTTAGACTTTACAGTGAGAAACGCAACAGTCACACAGACTGGGACCAGCAGAGGAGCTCACAGTTGAGGGATGACTTGAAGACTTTGGCCTCATTTAAGATTCCTTGAGGCAATTTCCCACGTACATCAGATGTCCAAGGGTAGAGTCTGGTTTTTCATTTTAAAATACAGAGGAGCAAAAGATACTCATAATCCCATTAGAACTATGAGACATAGTTCCAATGGGATTGCAGTATAAAACTAGTTTTCAACCTACTTTTTCATTCTATAATATATTATAAGCATCTTTATGTGTTAATAAGTGTCACTATGCTCCTTTGTTATGGCTGTTGGCATTGTGTCATATGGGTTGTATCATAATTTTTCTTATCCAATCC